CCCAAAAAACCCTGTTTATCAAATCTAGAAGAAAACCTTGGCCTTCAATTGTACATTTTTTTAAAAAAATCTTGGAAATAAAATTATAAATCTGTTCTCAATGTTGATTAGCTTTCTTACAAGTCTTCCAAACATGATGGAAATACCTTCAGAATCAGATTGGTTAAATTTCCAACATATCTTTGACATATCCTTATATGATAATTTATACAGTTGTTAAAATATACTGTAGGTAGCCCTTGACTGGCAACCATACATGGGGCATAAAGCAACCAGGCTGCATTTTGTTTGCATGCCTTGATCATGTGATTGCATTTTACAAATGTTTTTGGCAAAATCAGTCCTTAGACAAGCATGGGTTTGCTTAACAACCATGACATTGACTTAATGACTGCCATTAAAAAAGGTCATAAATTCAGGAGAGTCACGAGCCCGGCCCACTTTATGATCATCACAAGTTACGACCATGATGGGCAGGCTCCATTACAGTCATATTATGAAGACTACCCGTATCAATGGTACATCTTATATATTAAAAATATATATTTTAAATTGTAATTCAATGAAAATGTCAAACCCTTTCTCTGCCTAGCCTCTTATTGCTAAAGGATTAAGCTCTATCCAAAGCTGTTTGTCTATTGTCATACCATATTTAACATATTCATCTTCCATATTCATAGACATTTAAATTCACCTTTAGTGCAGAAGTCCAATTGAAAACCAGTTTTCTTATTCATCAAAACAGAATACTTCTCATCCAATTTGAACCCCTATGTCAACTGAGCATAAGTAAACCAATGACAAATGTGACCTTTTTTCTAGTTCTTTTTTGGTTTTAATTTAGGGAGGTCTAAATTAGGTTTAAAGTTATTAAAGCTGAGAAATACTGCTCTACAATATCAGAATAAATACCAACAGCCATCACTATTGCGGCTTTTTTTCGGAAATATGTGTAGGTTTGAAAAGGTGTTTTAGAAGTCAGCCTTCCTCGACCTGTGGGGCAAAAATAAAAAAATAAGAGAAACTGGAACACCAAAGGCTTAGGTTACCATCTTCACCAGCTACCTTAAGGCAGAATTGCATCGAAGACAAAGAATGCAGAGGCTGATTCTTACGTAATCTGATTTTTGTGCAAAAGTATCTGTTCACACCCGTATCGCTTGCAAGTTTTGCTTGAACTCATGCCACCTTCACCCAGTTGGCAGCTGCTGCACTAGTTATCTGGGAAGAACATCTAAGCTACCACCTCAACCTGCAACAATTTGGCTATTTCAGGAAATGAGCCTGAATTTTAGCCTACTTCACCTAGTTTGCTAGTTCTTTAAATCCCCACTGTTGGGCTTGACTTAAATAGGAAGATTCAAAATCCATTTAAGACTCTTGGGTACTTATGTGTAGGTCACATGCCCGCAGGCAATGTCTACAGTTTTACAAGCATCAACAGGTAGATGATGGAAAGATTAAAAGATAGTTGAGTGCACCAAAGATGTTTGGCAAAACCTGTAGCCAATCCACCCTTCTTGGGAAGGGAGCTTACCTGGTCATATAGAGGCTTCTCTCCTGAATGTAGAAGAGACTCCCTTTTCTACCGCAGTCTTTCTTGCAGAAATAACGAAATATTAAGCTAAGGACAGGGTGGGGTGGGTACTGTGATTGAAGAGGGAGAACAGTTATATACAGGTAGTCCTTGGCTTACAATCACAAATCAGAATCAGAATAGAACTGGAAGGAACCTTGAAGTCTTCTAATCTAATCCACCCCACTGCTTAAGCTGGAGATCCTATACCATGTCAAGTAAGTACTTGTCCAGTTTTCTGGCTGAGGAACTCTGGGAGTTGAAGTCCACAAGTCTTAAAGTTGCCAAGGTTGGAAAGGCCTGCTTTAGACTAGCCAAACCCAAATCCTTCAACAGTTTTTCATATGTTTTAGCCTCCAGGCCTTTAATCATCAGTTGCTCTTCTTTGCACTTTTCCCAAAGTCTCAATTTGAAACAAAAGTCTCAATTGAACCCAAAATTTTCGTTGCCTAATAAGGCAGTTTTTTAAATGAGTTTTGACCCATTTTATGGCTTTCTTGCCACAGTTGTTAGGTATATCACTGCAGTTGTTAAGTTAGTAACCCGGTTGTTAGGCGAATCTAGCTTCCCCACTGACTTGTCTCGTCAGAAGGTTGCAAAAAATGACCAAGTGACCACAGGATCCTGTCCCCGTCATAAACACATGCAGTTGCCAAGGGTCCAAATTTTGATCACGTGACCATGGGGATGTTGCAATGGTTATAAGTTGAGGACTACCTTGACTTTTAGGAGACAATATTTGTAGCTCAGGCTTGAACCATGATGGAGTTCTTGGTGTTCTCTAAGCTTGGTTGTTTTGCTTGCAGATATATTTTTTCAGGGCATTGATCAAGTTACCTAGTCAAGTACTGAAATGTCTGTAAATAAACCATGAAGCTCAGAGAGAATTAACGACTCCATAATTCACTTTTTTGAGCACTGTTTATATTTGGGTGGCAGGGAGGAAGTTGAGTGCTGTGGAAATAAAGTGGTTAATTGCATGTGAAATGAAAACAAGAGATGCCTGCTCAGTGCCTGCTCAATGAATATAGACCAGGAGTGTCAAATTCTATTTCACTGAGGGCCGCATCAGGATTGTGTTTGACCTCAAAGGGGGGGGGGGGGGGGGTGGCCAGCTCGGTGTCACTCATCGAGGCTTCATTTTTGGCTGCAACAGCTTTCTGCAGCCCTCTGCCAGCCAAAATGGAGCTCGGGAGAGCAGTATGCGGCCTGCCTGAGCTTTTTTTTTTCTCTGGCAGAGTCACTGTGGGCCTGCCCTTCACTGTTTCTACGGCGGGCCCGTGGGCTAGATCTAAGCACCTTGTGGGCCAGATCTGGCCCCCGGGCCTTGAGTTTGACACCCCTGATATAGAATATATACCAAAGAAAATGACCAGCATTAAATAATTGTTTTTTTTAAATAAGTGTTTTTTATTTTTATTTTTTACACATCTCTTCACGTGAGCAACGTGATTCCAAATTATACATAGTCATAATTACATTTTCAACTTTCTTATTTAATATCACATCAAATTATTATCCATTCCACTAATCTTTAAATAAATTTCCTTAGCATTAAAGAAATATGTTGAGAGGGTTTGGTCATCTAGAGATAATGAATGATAGTTAGGCTACAAACCAACTACATGAAGAAAAGGAACTACATGGGTAGGGAGAAAGGAGAAAAGAGAAAGGAATAAGTTGTGGTTGGATGGAGTTGATGAAATCTTCAGAGAGATGGAAAACAATCAGCAGTATAAACTATGGGCACTTTCAAGGAAGCAGATAGGGAAAATACTTCCAACTGTGACTTTTGAGTGGCACCACAAGAAAGAGCCTTTCTGTGTAGAAATCCCTTCCTGTTTCTCGAGGAAGTCAATTTCACATAGTGGCTTAGAAGGAAAAAAAAATATTTATGTTAGTGTTTGTTAAACAAAGAGCTTACAAAATCCATGCAGCTTCTGGTTGTTTTAATGCCCTTGCTCTTGCTTCAAGTTGGATAGTGCCAGCTGTTGGCTCAATCTCTCAGTGACTCAAAGCTGCGTTTCTTTTCTTGATGCCCGATGCACAACTGTGTCTAGATAGGCTCTCCTGGTCCCTTTAGGCAATGATTGCAAGATTGAAAGGATGCGGCTACTTCTTTTCCTCCCTGATCACATAACCCCCCAAATAAAACAACAAGAAAGTGCAAGGATTCATTTAGTGACGTTGATGATGGTTTGCGATGGATGGCTAAAAAGCGTAACTTCAGTTTGGTTTTGGACAGTGGGAAAAATGGCTTGGTTTAACATTGAATGACTGAGAGTCCATTTTGTTCTGTGCTCATCTGTGTTAGAACTGACCTAAAATTATTTACACAATATATTTAAATGAGTCAAATGCGATTATTGCATTGCGCAAATCTCCTAATCCAGTTAATTAATCCTGGCAAGTAGTCTGAGATGGCTTCGTTTTGGTCCAAATATCTGGGACTAAACTATTTGAGCTCAGCAAACAAAATTTTCAAATGTACAGATATACTGGTGGTCCTTGGCTTATGGCAACAAATGGGCCCAAAATTTCTGTTGTTAAGTGAAACATTTGCTAAGTGAGTTTTGCCCCCATTTTACGACTTTTCTTGCCACAGTTGTTAAGTGAATGAATCCCTGCAGTTGATAAGTTAGCAACCTGGTTGTTAAGTGAATCCGGCTTCCCCATTGACTTGCTTGTCAGAAGGTTGCAAAAGGGGACCGTGTGATTCCGGGACATCGCAATCATCATAAGTATGAATCATGGGGACGCTGCAAAGGTCGTATCTCTGGAGAACTATTGTAAGTCGCTTTTTTCAGGGCCGTTAAAACTTTGAAATGTCATTAAATGACCTGTTGTAAGTCGAGGATTACCTGTACACACACACACACACACACACACACACACACACACACACAGAGAGAGACAGGCTGTAGAGTGCCTACCTGATCCTGCTGCTTGAATCCCATCCTGAAATACAGCCACACAAAAAGATGCTAAGTCTCTGAAATGTTTTAAACAACTTCTAAAAATCATACACCAAAAAAAAAAGCTCTCTCTTTTTTCCATGCATTTTTACTCTCAACATTTCCCTGTAAAAGAAGATGATAAAGGGGAAACACCTGCCTTTTAAGGGAATTGTGTGTGGGGGGAAACTCCTATATTTTCCCCTTCCTCCGCTTTTTTTTTTTTAAGGCCAAGGAAGGTATGCTTTATCATTACATCTATCTAATAGTTTTTCATGCATATATTTGATATCACTGTCCTATCCTGGATGTCTTGTCATACGATAATAAGAATTTTTAAAAAGTCTTATCACTTGACGCAATATGTTACCTTTAGTCTAAATTAGGTCTCGTCACACTTCTTGAGCTGGAAAGGTGCTCACGGCCTTGGTATCTGTTCTTCTTATAGTTTTTATTTTTCTTCCATTTAGATATAAAGGAAGCTGAAAAACAATCGTGTTCCAGGCATCTATGGAAGGTGATGCTTAAACTGAAATTTCTGTGACTGTTGTCTGCAACTGATCAAAACTTAAAGGAGATACAGAGCTTTCCTCAACGACGCAAGACCTACAACATTGATTCTGTTCGAGGTTATTATTTTTTCAACTTCTCTGGAAATAGAGGGAGGTTTCCTCCCCAAGAAGTAAAGAATGTAGAAAGATGACTTTTAAAGGGTGCATGAGCACCATGCAAGATTTGGAGACACCGTGGATCTTTCATGTGCCTTGAAAAGCCAAAATTTAGTAACTTTTTTACTCCTAACTTTTCCGTGTAAGAGAAAGTGGGAAAGTTGAAATACCTCTCTTAGTTTTTGTGTGGAAAAAAAACCTACCTTTCCGTCTTCCTCCTCTTTTTAAAGGCCAGGGAAGGTATGTTTTATCATCTTGCACCCACATCATATTTTTGTAACTACTGTGTTTCTCATATAATAAGGCTGGGTCTTATTTTTTTTTTTGAGCCCCCCAAAAATGGTTAGGCCGTCTTTTCGGGGGTGACTTAATTCCCCGCCTTGCATCTTCGGGAGGGCGGCGACGGCTTGGATGTTGACCTCGGCATTGGTGGGGCACTTTGTATCGGGGTCAACGCAGGCAGCACCATATCCGGGTGTGCAACAAAAGTACTTCCTAACGGCAAGCCCCACCACCACTTCCCCCCCATTTCGCATGTTTTAATATAGGCCTTAATTTGGGGGGAGGGGCTTAATTTCATTTCATGCCTATAAAACATGCTGGGACTTCCTATTGGGGGAGGCCATAATGTTGGAGAAACAGGGTAGCATAAGGGGGTGGTTTAAGAGGCTTATGCTTTCACCGACAGCTTTACCGTTGACTCTACCTCCAAAGTTCAGAATATTGGGGTTTTATTAATTTTTAAACAAAGCAACTTTGGAGCCTCCATGTTCAAATATGATTTACCACAAAGTAGAAACTGTTAAGAGCTGAGCAGCGAAAGGGCTGGCCCTTCAAATCCTGCTTGAGGTAACCCGCTAGCATTTCAGATGGAGAAGAATGGTTGTGTTCCTGATGTGGACCTCTGAGGTCTAATGTTCAGGTGAAAATCTGTTAAAGATTGTTTTAAAACACCAGGATTTCCCCCTCTCCCCTTCCCTGCCTTTCCCCCACACCCAGACCAGCATTTTCAGGGACAAATTGGATTTTCATTCATGACAGATATGTTATTTTTGAAGTATCAATCGTTTGGGCATAAATTAAATCCAGTTATTTATAATGCAGCGTAGCACTTCTCTTTTATTAAACTTGCTGGAATACATTATGTGAATAGCATTATGTTAAACAAACCAGATGGACACCCTTCATGCAGGTTATTTCTATCATTTTACATCAATGTCTATATTGTGCAGCCAAAGTCATTACTGGTATATTACTTTTTTCTCTTTAAATCTCAATGTGGTTTAGAATTACTCCTAAGACACATACATTTTCAGGTGGAAAGATAAAGTGCCAATCATTTTAACATATAAAGTAACAAGTGTGACATACAAAAGGATCAGTATGTTTTAAATTTTGTAACTTTAAGGTGTGTGGATTTCAACTCCCAGAATTCCCCAGCTTGGCTGGAGAATTCTGGGAGTTGAAGTCCACACATCTTAAATTACCAAATTTGAAAAACACTGTTATAAATCAAGTGGAAGTATATATGAAGTATATATATAACCTTGTAGTAAGGAACATGACAAAAGAGGAGTGATCATTTTAATGATTATTATCCGTTTCTTCTTTTGATCTTTTTTATCATGGCTCCATCCACTTAACAAAGAATAGCTCTTGGTATGGTTTTAATCAGGATTGCAGTCTGAAAAACCCTTGCTGAAGAAAATCAAGTGAGTCAGAGGTGTGAAAGAGGTAACATTAATTAGTGAGCATTAAAAGGTTTAGAACAGACCACAGCTTCCTTTCTGCTTGTACTGAAAACTACAAATACCATGATTCTTGCTAGTGATTTTCAGCCTTCATGATTCTTGGTTAAGTTTTAAGGAACCAAAACAACCCAAAATATATAAACTGTGTCTTTAAAGTAAAAACTGCCAAAAGTAGGGAAAAAATCAGTTCCATTGAGATTAGGATAGGTAAAATGGGTAGATTAAGATGCTCAAAAGAACCACAAGGGGCTGGAAAGATTGGTAAAACCCCATCTCAAATCATTCAAAACACCAAACCAGCCTTAAAACATGTCACCAACCTTCTTGTAATTATCACAAGATTGAATTATTTTCATACCAAATACTAATACCAAACTATTACTAGATTTTAAGCTGTCACCTGACAGAGCATTCTCTGGGGATCTCAATGCAAACTTTAGGAGCACTGAGTGAGATTTCAGCTATTTTATATGTTTATTAAATGTGGGGGAGGTATTTAATTATCTCTCTTGGCATTGTATAGTATGTTGAGCCCTGATCTAAAAGGTAAGGGAATGTAGCCAAGTCACTGAATCATAGAATTGGCGTCCTAGAAAGTCCAACTGCCAACCCACGCTCAGCACAAGAATCTAAATTAATGCTTCCCCAACGGATAGCTCCCAGGCCATCATTAGAACACTACCAGTTAAGGTGAATTATTGGGAAATAGCTTAATTATCCTAAGTTGAATTCATTTTATGCACAGGATTACTTCCTATGATTTACTCAAAAGGGAGTTGTAAAGGCACTCTGCTTGGCATTTTTCAACCACCGTTATATCACCTCAAGTGTCATTTGCCTTCATGTCTCTACTATCCTTAGTTTGTCTCTCTTTAAAAAAAAATCATTGAAGTAGGGGGTCATCCTAAAGAGCCATGGTGGCAAAGTGGTGGGAATGCAGTACTGCGAGCTAATTCTGCTGACCTCCAGTAGTTCGATTTTCACTGGCTCAAGGTTGACTCAGCCTTCCATCCTTGCGAGGTTGGTAAAATGAGAACCCAGGTTGTTGGGGGCAAGAGGCTGACTCTGTAAACCGCTTAGAGAGGGCTGTAAAGCACCATGAAGCTGTATATTAAGTCTAAGTGCTATTGCTATTGCTATCCCATGGCAGGGTGTCCCACCGGTTATTTCTGCATTGCATAAAGAAATACATGAAGAATTGTCTGCCCAACAATTTCATTAGAAAACAAACACACAGGTAAAAGGGCGAAGCGTTCTCGGTTCCCTCCTTTTACAGCATTGCCACAACAAATTGGCCATATCCACGTGTTCCAGGCTGCAGGGGTATGCGCTGCCGTGCCACATCACTCCAAGGCTCTGGGCCTAGGACAGGGGCCCTGAGCACAAAGGGGAGATGCTATCCCCACCTTGCACCACGAAGGAGGATTATCACATCATGTCAAGCAGCTGAAGAAGCTTTACTGGTTGTTGGTCGAAGGTTGGTGGCTGAACATCCTCCAGGTGCGGTAATCCTTTGCTGTGAAGACCGGGGTGTGGAGAGAAAGGTGGGGTACATAGCCCGGTTTCCCCTTCAGCTCCTCAGCACAGCGATTGCGGTTGATGACTGGGGGGAAAAAAATAAGAGAGATTGTAATTCAAAAGAAGCTGGGGGGAAATTAAGGTCGATTTCCTATTTTGCATATGCATCACTGGAGGTTTGTAAGCAGAGACTGGACAGCCATTTGTCTGGAATGGTATATGTCCGTGATGGTGAACCTATGGCACACGTGCCACAGGTGGCACACAGAGCCATTTGGGCCGGCACGCAAGCTGCAGGCAAACTAACTGCATATGCAGGCGCCTCACAGCTGATTTTTGGCCGGTTTGAGGCTTTTTTTTGGCCTCCCAGAGGCTTGAGGAAGGCTTGTGCAGGCTTTGCAGGCCTAAAACTAGCCCCATTTCATCACTTCCTGTTTTTCTGAAAATACCAGAAGTGATGAAACGGGGCTAGTTTTTGGCCTGCAAAGCCTGCACAAGCCTTCCTGAAGCCTCTGGGAGGCCAAAAAAAGGCCGCAAAGCAGCCCAAAATCAGCTGTGAGGTGCCTGCATATGCAGTTAGTTTGCCTGCAGCTTGCACATGCATGCCTAGGGGGCATGGGGGGGGGGGGCGTGCTTTGCTTTCTGGGTGCGGGCACGCGAGCACGAGCATGCAAGCGCGGGCACAATTTTTGGCACAGGTGCCCAAAAAGGTTAGCCACCACTGGTATATGTTTTCTTGCTTCAGCAGGGGGTTGGGCTAGGTCCCTTCCAACTGTTATTCTATATTCTGTATACACCTCTTCATGGCCTAGGAATTGGGGGAAGCTGTTGTGTCAAAACACCTGGAAGTGCCTCTTAGGGGAGTCAAGGAAGGTGCCCATCTATTGCATGCAAGATTCAAGACCAGCAATTCAAAGAAAAACCATCAAGATGGCAGGTGATAGGAAAAGGAGCCATTCTTAACCTGAGAAGGTGTAGGTAGGCCTTGACTTACAGAAATTTTGGACTCTTTTGTTGTCATACACCAAGGGCCTTCCACCTTGGCAAGTTTAAGACTTGTGGACTTCAACTCCCAGAATTCCTGATCTAACATGACTGGAGGAGGAATTCTAGGAGTTGGAAGTCCACAAGTCTTAAAGCTGTTTGAAGACCCCTGTCATACATCAAGGCCTCTCTCTAGTGTGAAAAATATTTTTTTTAATCCAGATCAATTTCACTGGATGATCCATTTTTTTTCTAGAATTGGGGGAAAGGCATATAGGGTGAGGATTGAGGTCTCCCCTTGTGCACTCACGAACCATATTACAAGTCTCTGATGGAGCCAACCTGCCTGAGTTTTCCCTCGCATTCCTTCGTCCCCATAATCCTGCTTCTTACCATATTCTTTGCCAGGAATATTCTTATCCTTCCATAGAAAAGCACTCCATCGTGTGTTAGGATCCGAATACTGAGGAGGGATGATTGGATCATACCAGCTGCTGTCTCGCAAATGCAGGGCGTAACCTAAGGATAAAAAAGATTTAGACGCACCGATATGAACTTGCATTGTGTTGCTACAGCCAAAAAAGCCAATATTTTATTACAGGGGTGGGGAACTATGGCCCTTTTATGACTTGTGGACTTCAACTCCCAGCATGGCTGGCTCAGGAATTCTGGGAGTTGAAGTCCACCCCAGCTTTAACTGGTTAGTTTGTTTAGCTCAGGGGTGTCAAACTTGTGTGTGATATATCTGGACTTTTTCCCGCTTTGCTAAACTGAGTGGGGGAGGGGCCAGCACATGACACAGTGAGTTTGACACCCCTGGATTAGCTTCTAGATCCATGATGGTGAACTTATGCAGAGGTGGCACGCAGAGCCCTCTCTGCGGGCATGTGAGCCGTCGCCCCAGCGCTGTGCATGTGCGTGCACCTCCCGCCGGCCAGCTGGTCTCTGCCAGATGCGGGGGGGGGGGGCGAGGCGCACACAGGGGATTCATGCTTGTGTGGTGGGTGAGATTGGGGGCATGAAT